TGCGATCCTCCATAATTAGAAAAGAAGTTTGGAGTGTGGTTAGCGTAAGAACGTTTGGGAGGTTCTGAATGTGATTGAAGACCTTGGTGCATCATATAATGTTGGCTTTGAGGAGTGGACTTTGAGCTTTGTTGATTGAAGCTCAATTGATCCATGTTTGATACAAGATGTTGGAGTGAAGCAGCAAGACCATCCATTTTATCTAAGTTAGCCTTTTGATTTTCCGATTCAAGAACATTGGGAGCAATCTTTTGTGAGCCATTAGAATGGTACCAATAAGAATGATTGGATGTGACCCTTTCAATTAGTGCTTCGGCATCCTTCGGTTGTAGATGAATCAATGCTCCGCATGCTGAAGTATCCATAATCATCTTTGCTTCATTTTGTAATCCTCCATAAAAAGAGTAAATAGTCTCCCAATGGGTCATGAAGTTTGATGGACACATCCTCCTTCAGGCCTTAAACCTCTTCCATGCTTCCGGTAGTATTTCAACAACCCCTTGCTTGAAATCTTGTATTTGCTTTTTTATCTTCAAACACTTTGAAAGAGGGAAGTATTCTTGAATGAGCTCCTTGTGTAGTTGATCCCATGTTTGGAAATGATCTTGGGAAAAAGAATCAAGCCACCTTTGTGCTTCATCTCTAATTGAAAATGGGAACAACCATAGTCTAATGGCATCATCTGACACGACATTCTTCTTGATCGTGTTACAAACTCCTAAAAAGTGGGTGATATGACATTGAACATCCTCTTCAAGCCCGCCTCCAAATTGATTACACGAGACTAAACCAATAGTAGAAGCCTTGAACTCAAAGTTGTTTGCCTCCACCCTTGGATAAAGAATGCTTTCACGAGCTTGAATTTCAGGTTCTAAAAATTTAGCAATAGAACGTCCGATAGGAGGCTCTAACGTGCCAAATACATGCATGCCTCCTTCCATTTTCTCACCTTCTGATGCAAGATTAGAACATTGGTGCTTCTGAACCAATCATTTGTTTTTGGACGAGAAAATCAAATCTTTATCATCGTGAGAAAGAGTATGCATACAAAAGCAACCTACACAAGCTCAAAAACAACCCCACGTTATCCGAACAAAACAAAATAACATGGAAATGGAAATTAGTAAGTAACAAAAGTAAAGACTAGTCTCACTAGATCACTAAGATCAATTATCACACTTAAACTTTCAACACCATCCCCGGCAACGGTGCCAAAATTTGACGAGTTATTTTCACAATAATGCTCATCGGGTGTCGGGATATGGAAGTCCCGGATATCGTCTCACGGGACAGTGTATATGGAAAATCAAGTGTGAAATCAATCTAGAAATCAAACATGTAATCTAGCCAAATCGATGTATGATTGATTTAAGAGATCAACTAACTTGCAATAAAAATAGATCACGGCTAAACTAGAAGGGAAGCGGAGGCATACAAGGAACAACCTATGATTAAGGATAAAGGGTCAAAATGGAGATACTTGGGAATATATCATGTAACAAAGGGATAGGTACAAGTTTCCTTGCAACTCTCATGGTCAAGGGGATACTAAGGGATCTTAGTGGTCATTCTCATGGTCCAATTGAATCCAAAGTCATGCAACGAATAGCAACCAACATTTTTCCCCTACCTTCTCCCATTCTCATGGAGAGGGGTAGTGTGTGTGTGAATGTGTCAAAAGGAACCCTACAAGTCTCCTTGAGAGTCTAAACCAACATCTAAGAACAGTGTGACCATCAAAGTCTTAGAAATACGAAGAGGCATTTTCACAAACACATTGTGTGCGTAATATATTTCTCAAGTTCCCCCAAATCAAACCCCAAAACCTAACACATCACATGGTTGGATGTTCTTCAAACACCCTGATGGATAGTGTACCCGGGGGGTAACTTATCCGAGGGGTTATTACGGGGAGTAATAAGAGAGAAGTCAGAGCAAGTAAATATAGAGAGAGAAAGTATATAGCAAAGTGGGGAGCGTTTTCAGCGTGGTTACAAATGGGGAAATGGGGTGCTATTTATAGTAGCAATAAAGGCCGGACAGGGACACGTGTCAAACGCCCATTGGCCGAGAGGTCACCTCAACTGGTTGGCGCTGGCAACCGCAAGTGGCCGCATTTAATGCGGCTGTTGGATGGGACGTTGTACAGGGTACGGTGATCAGTGCGCATGTGGTGCGGATATCATGTCGGGAGAGGTGCCCTCGGCTGTAGAGGACTAGCCGAGGGCTCTGAATGCCGGGGGGCGCCTGGATGCCGAGGGCTCCAGGTGCCGAGGGCTGCTGGTTTCCGCCGTTCTTCCCAGTTTCTTAGTTTGCTTGAAAACCCCGTTCTGTGAGAGTTTTGATGCCTTCGGCCAGGGGGCCGAAGGCTCCTCAGTGTGCGCTGTGGGCTGCTAAGTGCTTGGGGCGCCGTAATTTGGGCCTGCTGTGCTTCCTGGGCCGGTTGGGCCTTTATTGGTGTAGTAGGAGTCTGTAGGCCGGGGGTTCCCGGGCCATATACTCCATCAGGAGTCCCTCACTCCTTTTGCCGAAAGGTACTTGAGGGAAAAGGAGTAATTTGTGCTTGCCCTTTGATGTTATCCCATTGTAATCTCTGAAGTTGGTGAGGAGTTGTTGCTTGCATGTCCCTGCCGAAGGCAGTCTCTCAGTTACCCACATGTCGCGACTTGAGGGATTGGTTTACCGTTTGTTGGAATTTTTCACCATTTTGTAATTTAATGATTTTCCCGAAGGGGTCCTCCAGTCCCCCACTCCTTGAGGCACTTGCAAAGTGGTGAAAAGGAGTGAAGCAGTTGCGTTGCTGTTGCGGGCCGAAGGCTGACGCTTTTCGTTTCATTTTGGGGGGATGCCTCGTTAAAAACCTCACTAGCAAAAACCCTGTGGGAAAAAATCCTAATGAGGGAAAAAGAGTGCACCGAATTCCCCCAACGATGAATAAAAAATGTGAAACCTTGGTTCAAAATGGAGAATAATTGTAATGTTGAAGGCTCTCCTTGTACTGAGGGCTCCTGTGTTGATTAGCCGATGATGAGGATATCCGAGGGCTCCCATTACCCGTGTGTCGTAGGCTATCTGTCAGTGAGGCATACTCCCCGGGGGCTACCCGGCCCTTACAGTGCTGAGGGGGATCCCCGAGGGGTGGCCTGATATGAAGCCTTGGGCTTCTGAAGGAGTGATCTCGAAGGCATCTGTTATGTATTGTGTGGGGCACAACCCGGGAGCGTCTCCAGGTAAGTGTACCCGGAGGCTCCCCTTGATGAAGTGGAGTGAAGTAAAAAGCCCGGGGGCTTCCAGAATATAGCCGTTGGAAATATAGTCGTTGGAATACGTAACGTCAGGATATAGCCGTTGGGGGGGTTGCCACGTGGTGCGTGCTCGTTGGCTGCCTGTGGGCGAGCGTCACCGATTGGGTGGAATCTCGGTTGGTAATGATGGCAGTCCAACCGGAGGCCCGGTTTCCAGGCCCAAGCCCGGATCCCAGCGCCTATAAATACCCCAAGGCCAGGGCCATTCTCCTTGTGCAAAATCCTTATAGCGAAGCTCTGCCAAATTTTCTAGAGAGAGAAACAGCAGCCCTCGATCAAATTCTTATTCCCAGGTCAGTTCTCCACTCGCACTTCACCTCTTTAGTTAGCTGTCTTGTGCCCTTAGGCTAGGAGATGAGTTTTTAGAAAACACTAGCGTCTACGAGCCCTCGAACTAGAGCCAAAATGTTATCCCAGAGTGATTCTCAGGACATCTCGGGGGCGCCCTCGGTGGGGGATGAAGTTTTTTCGGACGTGGAGTCCTCAAGTGCACAGTCTTCGGTGGGACAGTATGCCGTCGTCGCCCTGGAGCTGCAGAAAGCCCTCGTTGCTGAGGTGGAAGCCGAGGGCTTCGAGCAAGAATGTGAGGATGAAGAGCTGGCCCTAGCCTGGCAAGCAGCTGAAGAAGAGGCGCAAAGAGAAAGCGCGAGGGTCACCGTTGCTGTGCTCCCCCCTCGGGGTGCCGGTGAGGCCAGCACCTCTCGGCCGCTGAACGCGGTTCCCATCCGAGTGGCCCCCGGAAAGAAGAAGGCCAAGGTTGCTGCTCCCAAGAAGAAGGGCAGCGTTGCAGATCAAGGGAAGCCCCTCGATATGCCCGAGGGGTATTCCTACCTGAACACCGCCGCCTTGGAAATAAGGTCGAAGGTTGATGCGGCGGACATCTACGTCACTCAGCTACACGTGGGCCCCTCGGCCATCGTGGTGACACCGGGTCCAGATGATGTCCTCTTCCGGGCTCCCGAGGGCTGTATTGCGGTGCACGTTCTATTGGTGTCCATGGGGCTCCGCTTCCCCCTGCACCCTTTCCTCCGGGAGTACCTCCGGTTCGTGGGTTTGGTCCCCTGCCAGCTGACCCCGAACAGTCATTCCTACATCACGGGCTTCCTCCAGCTCTGCAAGTCCCGGGGGTGACACCTAGCCTGGACCTCTTCTTCCAGAGCTTCAATCTGTGCCGGGGGGGGGGGCATGCGAATGCCGAGGGCTTCGCAAACTTGCAGCAGGTGGCCCTATTCAAGCTCTTCACTGAGGCGCCCTCCTCGAACAAAGGGTGGAAGGACCGGTGGTGCTATGTGAAGCTGACCGAGAGCCCCTTCCCGAGGGAGTTGCGTGACCGGTTTAGGAGGCACGAGAAGAGGAGGAGCGCCGCCCTCAAGAAAGATGGCAGGATCCTGGCCACGATCCCGGAGGGCCGGGACAAAAATATTACCATTAAGGAGTGCACCAAAGAGGAGGATCTCTACACCCTCGGGTTCCGGCGGTATCGCTTCCTGGGGGAAACAGATGAGAAGTTCCCGGTGTTTGAGGGAGCCTCCGGAGGTAGTGGCTGAGGGCACCCTCATTTTCATATCTTAGCACATAGTTTATCTGTTTGTTTGTTTATTTTTTGTGCCATCTGTTAGTAATCCCTCGATTTTAACCCCACACTATTTTTGCAGGTATCCCAGTGAATATGATGAACGTCAAGGGGCTTGCTGATCTGAAGAAGAAAAAACCCTCCAAGGCCCCGAGGGGGACGGATGCTGGTGTCCCGAAACCCGCCGCTGACTTCTTCAAGAAGCCGGAGGGGCCATCGGCAGCCCCAAATGCTGAAGCAGCTGCCGCTGCCAAGAGGAAAGGCACGGGCAAGGCTCCCGAGAGCAAAAAGCCCAAGACCGGGGATGCCGGGAAGAAAAACCCCCCGGTGGTCATTGTTGATGATTGCCCCGCCTCCGGGGTGCACGAGGAGATGCCGGTGGCGAAGGTGCCGGGGGGGTGCGGGAGCCATCTTCCGACATCCTGACGGTCTCCCTCCCGGTTGGTACGGCCGTGATGAATGGCACGGCTGACCCGAGGGCGCTTCTGAGAGGTATAACCCTCGAGATCGATAGGGTAGCCCTCGGGGCTGATGATGATCAAGCCCTCGAGGACAGGATCCTCCGGTCTTCCCTCACGGTAAGTCTTTGATGGTTATCTTTTTCTCTTTACTTTGAGCTAGGAAATCATGTTCGGCCCTGCTAACTCCTTTATTTTTGCAGACCTGCATTGCCCTCGGAGAGCAGACCCGGCGGCTAGAAGAGTGGCGCCTTCGCAAGGCCGAGCAGGACGCCAAGATGCGGGAGCTCGTCCACCAGAATTCCGATGCCGTCCGGCATATGGCTATGCTGGAGGAGAGCCTTCGGCAGTTGACCCTGCGGGCGGAGGCCGCAGATCGGGGCAGGGCGGAGGCTGAAAGGTCCGCAGCTGAGGCCCTGGAGAGAGCTGCTAGGGAGGCCGAGGCCGCCAAGATGGAGGCCGAGACCGCTAAGGTGGAGGCCGTCGAGAGAGCCCGAGGGGACGCCATCTCTGGTTTTTTGGCAGGGGGTGGCGGGCTGAGGAGCACAAGCAATGGCTGTCCTCGGTCGTCGAGTCCTCGGTCGACGAGTGGTGCGATGGGCCCGGTGTGGAGTGGGTTTCCCAAAAGGGTAAACAATATTATGATGGGGGCGCGTTTTTCACCCAAGCCCTCATCTACCGGAGGATGGCTCGCCACTTGAAGATCGAGCCAAAGGATTTCGACCCGGCGGCATACGGGCTTCCCCTCTGCAGCCAGACGTCCGTGTTCCTCTCCCCTCCGATGTTGAGAGGCCAGACCTGGAGAACACCGAGCTCATGAAGGAAGCCGAGGGTGACAAACCTGAGGCCGATGCAGAGGTCACTTCGAAGCCATCGGAGGAGACGGCCCCCGGGAATGATGTTGTTTGACGTGTAATCTGTACTTAGCAAATATTTGGAACATACTTTGTAATGGTCACATTTGTATGCTTTCGGCCCTGGCAATCATTGTAACAATTACATTTACTCTTCTTTTTGATGATTGATGGATGAATGTTAGCCCTCGGGCCTTGTGTATTTGACTTGTTTTCCTTAATTTATTTCTTCTCGAATGTATGCCGTCGTTTTCTCTTGAATGTATGCCTTCGCCCTTCTTTGAATGTTTGCCTTCGCCCTTCCTGAATGTATGTTTAGGACTTAGAATATTTTCTTCCAAGTGCGGTGCCCCTTGTAGCCCTCGGCTATTAGAAATCTTTAGTCAGTTAAACCTTTCACTGAGGGGACAATGTTCAGGACTTGGAAATATTTCTAAGTGTTTGTTCATCTGTTGGCCCCCGGCTAATCCTTCCCTCCGGTTATATGTAGCCTCCCTGAGATGACCGGAGGCGAGGTGTTAAGGACTTAGAAAATTTTTCTAAGTGTTTGGATACAGTTTTAGCCTTCGGTAGTTGGGCACCCTCCGCTGGATGTATGGCCGAGGGCTCAGCAATAGTTAGGACTTAGAAAATATTTCTAAGTGGACCTCAGATGTTGAGGCTTCGAGTGGTCCTGATGGGAGCCCTCGAATCATTGGGTGAACCTTCCTGTTGCGGGGATATTCGGCCGAGGGCCAAATATTTAGGACTTAGCCTTACTTCCAAATGCATGGTGTCAAGTAGCCCTCGGCTACCGTATGTCCTTAGTTATCTGATGATCAGGTTGAGGATCCAATCTTTAGGACCTGGAAAAATTCCTAAGCGTGGTTTCCCATCGGAAGCCTCCGGGGTGATAGCCTTCTCCTTGATGTATAAGTAGTTAACCGAGGGGAAAATATGTAGGACTTAGAAAATTTTCTAAGTGTTGTTGCATCACGTAGCCTTCGGTTGTCATGGTCCCTCAGTTGAAATATTGACCAGGCCGGGGGCTCAATCTTCAGGACTTAGAAAATTTTCTAAATGTTGCTTCCTTGTGTAGCCTTCGGTTAGTAGTGTTTCCCAATTAAGATTTCCCGAGGGCCACATCATTTTGGAATAAACCCCCTTGGTTGGCCTTTGATGATTTGTAATAGATGCCTTCGGTTGTTGGGTGATATATGAGCCTCCGGCTGTTGTCATTTTCCAAAAGTGTGGACTTAGGAAAATTTGTAGGACATTGATGTTGTAGTGAATGCTGGTGGGATAGGTGCCCTCAGCATTCACTTAAAGGGTTGTTGAGTTGCCTTAGTCAGTTGCATCCCCGTTTACAGGATAGGACCCCTCGGTAGCGATGGATGACCGATGGTAGGTGCCCTCGGCACTTATTTGAAGTGAACTTAGCCGTTTAGTGTACTTGAGACAGTCCAATCCCTTTGTATTGTTGAGTAGTAACCTTCGGGAAATAGGAGCCTTCAGTTACCGGAGGTGTTCCCGTAGGGAGCCCTCGGTATGCTGTGATTTGTTGGAGTGTTGTACTCATTGATTTCTCGATGAGTCTACTCCCCTTCACCCCCTCTGTTTTTTTTTTGGTTGGTGGTGAAGGGAAGGCTTCAAGAAACTTGGTTTCTTGGTAAGGCTTGGCATATCGGGAGGTAACAGAATACACCATTAGCTCCCCCCCCCCCTCGGGTTAACCTTCCGAGTTCCGAGGGGATCGAGGGTCGTTTCCTGGGTACAAGATATGGTGGTCTGTAACCTGCCTCCCCTTGGGGGATGGCGCGGAAAGCGCCTCAGTTTTGAAAGTCGTCCCCTCGGTGTTAGACATAGTCCGTGGCCTGCCACACCCTTGGGGTGGTGGCACGGGGAGCGTTTCGGTTTGGAAGTCGAATCCTGGGCATTTATCGTGCCTGTCATACCCTTGGGGTGATGACGCGGAAAGCGTTTCGTTTTTGAAAGTCGATTCCTGGGCATTTCTCATGCCTGTCATACTCTTGGGGTGATGACGCGGAAAGCGTTTCAGGGAAGGGTTTTCATTTGCACACTAGTTGCAAATGGCCGGGGCACTACGTGCCACCGGCACCGATGGTGGCGCCTTCGGTATATGCGTCCTCGTGGGGTACGGCTTTAGAAACAACACTTGGTGTTAGTTTCGACATATAGCCCCCGATACTTGGTACCAAGGGGTCTTCTGTAGGAACACTTGGTGTTCTTCCTTTTTTTATGTTGATGGTGGAGATGTGTACCCCCGGCACTGGGTGCCGAAGGGTCTTGAAATGAAATACTTGGTGTTCCTTGTTGCCGGTGATGGGAGTTCTCACCTTCGGTACTTGGTACCGAGGGGTCTTGTTCGAAAACACTCGGTGTTTCCGCTGTTGTTGTAGGTGCTGGTGATGTTTGCCCTCGACACTTGGTGCCGGAGGGGGTTCTTCTAGTGGTGAGGCCTTGGGCCTGTAGTTGGTATGAGGGCTTGGCCGCTCATAAGTGTCTTGTGGTTGTTCTTGGTGTCTTGAACGTGTCTTCATTCTTCAAAATTGGAGGCCTTGGGTGTCACGCCCCGGACCTAGCCGGACACGTCAACAACCCGCCGTACAGTACGAATAGTCAACTGCAGTCCAACTCATCCATACTATACAAGGCGTCATGAATATCATTCACACATAGTACATCCATAAACAAACATAATGTAAAACATGTATTCAAAACAGCGGAAGCATTAATACAATTGTTCAAGCCACACTTGGCATAACTAGGCATGCAAGCCCCCAAAGTAATTATTCAGAAAATATTATCCATGAGCATTAATGTAATTGTTTTTAAAACAGAACGGGAGAAGCACGAACCACGTCTTCTTCCCTTGATTCCTCCCGAAGCAACGGGCAATGGCAGCGACCTTCAAGTTCTACCTGAAACTGTGAGGTGGCCTCCCCCGTGAAGGGGAGGTCGGTACTTGGAAATATTTGACAAGTACAATAGCAACTATACTAAGTATAATCAACGTTTTAACTTCCAAGACCCTTAACTTAGGGTACTATTATATTATAGGCCATAACTCTCGGTTACCCCTCTTTCTTTTAACTGTACTTACTTTACATAAAGTCCAGTAGTCGGCCCGTAGGCCCATACTCATTTAGAATTCATCTTTTCCATTCCCCCGTGACCGCGAGTCACGATAACCCCGTGGGGTCCCATCAAGCCCCAATTGTATAGCATGGGCTCGGCCCAACTACATCTCTATACAATCCTCTAGCTCAATATATCATATCAAAATTTGTATGGCAAGGGCTCGGCCCAACTACGTTTCCATACCAACCATAACTTCGTGGCAAGGGCTCGGCCCAACTACGTTTCCACGGAGGTCACATATACATGGCAAGGGCTCGGCCCAACTACGTTTCCATGCTAATCATATTACATGGCATGGGCTCGGCCCAACTACGTTTCCATGCTAATCATATTACATGGCATGGGCTCGGCCCAACTACATCTCCATGTCATCCTAGAGTCAAACTCTAATTATTCTCATAATCAAATTCTCAAGCAAGTCCTATGCCTAGAATCAATTCCCGTATGTGGCCTTTAGGCCTACCCCTATCACACCTTAGTGTTCATACCATTCATCCTTAAGTATCTCTTGAGACTACTTAAGGCATATCTATTCACAATCCTACCTCTTAGGATTTGTTTCATCATTTATTTGTATTAATTCCCCGACTAGTATTTTGATACTATTTGGATAACCTTAGAACATGCCAAGTTCCTATTTCCCAATTTGCATTTCATTTCCATTGATTTCTCAACCCAAGTATAGTTTAATCTCAATATCAAAAATATCACTTTAATCCATTCATGAATTTCATACATGAAGTAAAGTATATTTTATCACAATGTCATCATAGTAATTCCATTAACAAGCCGTTCCATTCGTTTCACATAATCATACACAATTATTCTAAATTTGTATATCATGCTTCACTTACTCATATCCATATTATTTTCATTTAGGCATTATTAATCATTAATAATTCATGAAAATCCCATCTAATTACTTTAGGCATTCTTATGAAATTAACTCACTAATTATAAGCAATATAGTCAGCCATCCTCACCTCGTGATGTGCTACAATAGTTGCCTTTGTTAAGCCCCTCGATCAATCCCCGTTCTAGGCCGATTGAAAGTGAAAAGCTGGATTTCTGGGCCAAAGCCGGGCGGCTTTCGTAGTCTGCAACTACGAACAGCTCCCTATATGTGGCGGTTTCCGGCGATTTCGACTCCTATCGATTCACAAACTCTTCTAAGTTAATTAACACCACTTTATAACAATATTATACACTTTTAGACGTGTAGAACTCATGGTTTAATCCACCATATGATTTCTCAAAAATCATACACAAAAAAAAAC